ACGACATGCTTTTCACCGACACCAAGCACATTTTCGTTTGTGTTTTAAGTGAGGTCGACGCGCTTCCTTGGGCTTGCTGTTGTGAGGTAAAGTACTTTAATTATTTATTTGATTTTATTCTACCTTTCTGACTTTAAAAAATATTTTTGGGTTGGTTTAACTCCCTTCTAAGCGCTTATAGAAGTTAAAGACGAAGCCCTTGGCCCAGAGTTGTTGTTGCAAGATTTACAGGGATGATAATGCCTCATCAAATAAATTGCCGATGCAATTATTTTTGATAGTACTCATTGTTCGGACAATAAAGAGCCATTCGGTCTATGTTTTGTACACTATTCAGGACTCAGCCTCATATCAAAAGACTGGGAATACGACAACTGCGCTAAAACAAACGGAGTTCCAAACTCTATTTCTCAGTCTACCAAGTGCAAAGCCAGATTTGCGTATCACGGACGCAACTTCGGGATCAATCCTAGCATTAGCAGAAAGGACACTTAACTACTAGGATGGGTACATTTTTCCACTGCCTTCAGCTGGCTGTAACGCACTTTGATGACTGGGGAACGATGTTTGTTGAGCTTTGAGTAGGTTGGTAGGGGCCTTTGGGCGGATGGTGAGCCCAAAGTTACTACATTCGCTGAAGAAGGAATCCATACATTCATACATGCTGGTATCGTCTTGAAACAATAGGGCACACTCACCAGAAAACAGGAGGTCGCATACCAAAATGTTCCCAGCTTTTTTTGGCTTACAGGATTCCTGCATCATGACCACCTAATCAATTCTAGGCCTAATAGTCACGCCTCGTGGAGGAAATGTGAAAAGGTCCCTGCAACAATGCTGACAACATGCTGGCAATTTTCCAAACCTCTGGATCCGAGCCTGCAAACCACCATGTAATTGTCTCACCAAGTAGATGAACTTAGATGGATATCCAAATTCTGCCGTGATTTTCTAGAGCCTTCACGGCAGACGGGGTCAAATGCTTTTGAGATGTCAACAAAAGTCATGAACAGACCCATGTTTGGTTTACTGCATTTCTTTTGTATTTGCTGGGCAGCAAATACCAGTATCCGCTGTGCTCCTCTCTCCTCGGTTATCATTCCATCTTTCTGGCAAGAACTTATTTGTAGGGAGATGAACAAGATGATAGTTCAGTAGGATTTTGTCAAGAATCTTCCTCGTCCATCATAGCCGTATATTTCACCTGGAATTGAATCGTCCCCTGCAGATACACTCTAAGACAGCCGTTGTACAGCTTCTTTACTTTAGTTTCCTCAAGGGTCAGGAGATCTACAAGCCTGAAGTTGATGATAATAATACATATTATAACAATAAATAGTAATTATTTTGAGGGATTTTTTAGTAATACTATTTCTAATAATGATGATAATAAACGTGTTTACATGGCATATTTTAACTCATGGAGTGCTCAATGCTCATTACTGTAACTAGTTAAAAAAGTACCCGTTCTACGAACGGAGTAATAATGAAGAATTATTTGGAAAGTTAAGAAGAGGAAAGAGACTAAAAACAGGAAAGAAGCAAAACATTTAATATTTTACCTTGAATTTATCCATGTAGCACCCCCTCTTGACTACCTCTAGGGGTAAGACTTCTTCTCCCTCTTCGAAGGGGTGGCATTTTCTTCTAAAGTTCCAGCTCAATCACTTTAAAAAAAAGAATTAGGCCTACATGCCAATTGTTGCTTCCTAGAAGAACCTAATCTAGATTCTAGATCTAGCCTAGATCTCGAAGGATTATAAAGACATAGGCCAATAATTGAAAGAAGGAGCCTTGGCCCATAGATAGATCTAAGTTTAGAAATTCACATTTTTAACAACCAACAAGCGTCACAGATTGCCTAGATTTGTAGATCAATTCACAGCAGGAAAAATCCTCTTTCGAGATTACTTTCTTGATTCTTGATCTCGATCTAGATTCACCT